GGGCTTAGCTCCATGGTAGAGTACTTTCCTATTGTGTGTGAGGCCCTGGGGTGCCCTAAATCCTCACATTAAAGGTGTCTGTCAAAAAACAAAACAGCAAACAAACCGAAACTTGACTCCCATACAAATATACAATGAACATACATAAAAGCTTCTGCTCAACTTGTTAATTAACAATGGAACCATAAGATCTTTCTACTTGATTAGCTCAGAGTGATTTGAAGAATAGACATTCATATAGATAATCAGGAATCTGAAATGAATATTTTTAATAGATGCAAAACTTGTCAATATTTTCAAATGATGAAGAGATGTGCAAATGAATGATTCTTTAGAGCAAGATAATAATAGTAATTATTTCCAGAAAGATGAAGTTTTGCTGTTGTATAAATTACAAGTTCCTGGCTGAACTGTTTATGGGCTATGATAAAAACTGGTAGGTCTCAGAAAATGATGAAATTCTTCAGCCTACCTCCAGTAGTAATCTCTCACTTGTATTGGAAGGAACCTCATCTTTCTTGAGAAAGTGGGATGGGTACCCTAATACTTTACAATTCTCTGCCTTTCTATGTGGTTCACATGGTTGCTACTGGCATATTATAAAACCTCATTTGAGTTAGTGCATGTTTAAAATGATGTCAGAGGGAAACACACAGATGGAAGCCAATGTCAAGAGTGCTGAAATGAAAAATGCCTAGGGATGAGGGATTCATTTGAAATGGTAATTGACCAGAAAGCAGATTCCAATGCATGAAACCCCAAAGTATCCCATGCCTGGCCCCGTCAAACTGCAACCGAGTTTCCAACTTCTCTCCAGCTTTCACATCCTGAATCCTGCTTCTGAGGTGCTGCCACTGCCTGGTCCCATCCAGCTCTTTCCTTCTCTTTATTTAAACTGGATGGAAGTTTTCTTCCTCTGCCTTTGAATTAATATGCAATAGGATAGACAGATGAATCACAAATCCTACCTGAAGGTGCTCAAATTACAAAAAGAATGTTTTATTGGCTTTTGGTTATTAAACACCATCGATGTTGTTTTTGGCATCTAAGCCCAGAGGCAAGGGAGAAAAAAAGTAAGAGGAACTGGAACTCAGGAGGTAAAACATTTACAGGAGAACGGGTCTGCTCCAAGTTACTCCCTGTCACTCTCTCTCTCTCCCCACTCCTTCCTTCTCCCCCTCTCCCTGGCTATGGCACCGCAGTGCTGAGATGGTACAATTCTTTCTCTAAAGGGTCATACACTGCTATTTCTGCTGGTCACAAAAAGACATTAGCATAATTATTATTATTAAACATATTTATTTTGCTACAGTCTATCATAAATAAATCCCTAGTCTGCCACAGATGCATCTGAGAAGAGCCCTGTACCACCCAACCGGTGACCTTCTGAAGGATGAGCCATTTCTCATCTCAGCCAGAGCACATGCTTTCTGTGCTGTCCCTGCTTGGTGAATGCCTTCAAATCCAGTTAACCAAATATTCCTTTTGTTTTTGGTACCAGGGATTGAACCCATGGTCACTTAACCACCAAACCACATCATCAGCCCTTTTTTTTTTTTTTGTTTTTTAAATTTGAGACAGGATCTTGCTAAGTTGCTTAGGGCCTCGAAAAGTTGCTGAAGTTGGCTTTTAACTTGTGAATCTCCTGCCTCAGCCTTCTGAGCGGCTGGGGTTTTAGGTATGCACCACCACGCCCAGTCCCAAATAGTTCTTTATCCCCAGAGTAGTCTCAAAACAGTTGATCCAGACATTCCAAGATCTTAAATTCCAAGGAACTCAAGAGGGATATACAGCCCTAGCAGTGGGCCTGGCTGCCCTAGAAGAGCTGCTGCAGCCTCAGCTGGACCTTTTGCTCTGCTTCCCCATGGAGACGGTAGGCGGCATAAGAGGGAGGACCCCTAGATCAGTGACTGCTGGGAAACCTGAAAAGTGAAATTATTTATTTTGAATCATAGCTATTCATGGTAGAAATTGAGAGGTGAACTTGAACTGGAAAGCCTATTTTGCTTTAGTCTTAAAGACTCAGAAAAAACTATCTAAAACCACCATCACATACATCTTGTCCAGGGAAGAGAAGGTTATTGAGTTACCAACTTTTATGTAGTCTGACAATAATTAATTTCAATTAATTTTCTTTCTCTCTTTCATTATTTCCTTCCCTCTCTCCCTTTCTCCCTCTTTCTTTCTTCTCTTTATTTTCTTCCTTCCTTCATCTTTTTTTCTTTTTCTTTTTTCTTTTTTTGTGCTGGGAATGGAACTCAGGATCTTGGACATGCTAAGCATGTACTTTACCACTAATCTTATAACCTAAGCTCAGTGCTTCATTTCTAAAGCCATATGATCTTCATAGTGTTTGTTGAAACTTAGTTTTCTTATCTCAGTTTTAATATTCCCTTTATTATAGTTAGCCACTGTGACTTAGCCTAATGCAGTCAAATAGACCTGCAATAATGGAAAGATCCTGTATCTGTGACATCCAAAATGGCAGCCACTAGCCCCATTGAACATGGCCACTGCACCAAACATGAGGAGTATGAAGTCATGGGGGGAGCCGTGACTTGCAGGGGCCACACTTGCAGTTTTGGTAGAACCTGATCAAATCTTTTACTTCTTAGCAAAGTGTTCTTCCCAGAATGACATGCCATCTCACGTAGATTTCAGCCAACAGGGAAAATGAGGAGTGATTTCAGGCTCAGATTAAGTAGCAAAATCACAGGGATATTTTTTGTATCAAATGACTCTGAGTATGTGTGGCAATAAACTTCACTTCTGCTGGCCTTGCAGACAGCAAATAACAGAAATGCAGTTGAACTAAATAGCAGGAGTGTAGGATTAGAGCTCCATGCTAAGTGTAACAGATCTAACTATTAGGTCTTACTACTCTCTGTTGAAGGCTGCCCAGAACATCAGCCTTAACATTGCCTTAACATTAGGTTCTGTCTATTTTTCTTTGCTTATTGAATATCCACAATGGTCCAGATGAGAAGGTGCATTAAGACAGTCAAAGCATTCAGTGCCTACGAAAAGACAGGTGATCAGTGGCCATTTCAATCAGATGTAACAATGTCTCTAGAGAGTGTGGCCCCTTCTCTGGTGAACTGGCCAGGTCTGGGTTCAAATTCAGATCTTCTCTTACTAGCTGTGTGACCATGGACAAATTTTTTAAGATGGAAATAATAATAATATGATCTCAAACTGTTGTTGCTAAGGTTACGTAAAAATTCATTTGAAACACTTGGCATAGAGCCTCATTCATAGAAAATGCTCATTGAACGCTGCTGCTCAGCACTACTGCAACTGCTGTTATTATTAGGATTGGAACCAGTGCGTATATCAGAGTTGTCACCATTTCGCAGGCAAGGAAGCTGAGGCTCAGATTAAGCAGCAAAATCACAGGGATAAAATGTGACAGGACCAGACTTTGAGGAAGACTGAATCGAGCTGTTCTCTAGAGAGGGTACTCACTTTCCACCTACCTGGCCTTCTCCCCAGCTTCTTCCAGCTAGCTGCCTCTGAACTAGTGGGGTGGGCCCCACAGCAGGTCAGGCTGCAAAAGGGCTTCGAGCAGAACTGAATAGAAGCCTGGGGTACCATTAACTTTGCCAAGTCCTCCTGTACTTTTCAGAAGTTTTCTGAGCAACCATTTTCTGGTCCTGGAAATATGCACATTCGAGATCAATGTAAACTCTTAAAAAATAAGACTTTTCTCCCCTCCCAGTACCTGTTTTATGCTGAAGTAAATAAAAGAGCTATTGAGTTAGCAGTCTTGCACATCATTTGTTTGTAGGTCTGTACAACCATTCTTCTGTCCTTCCATCAGACCATCCATCCAGGCATCCATATCACAAACATTTATTAAACACCTAAAGGATGCTAGACACTGGCTGGAGAGTGCTTTTCTCCCCCAAGTCCTATTTTTCCTACCAGGCAGTACAGTCATCCCTTGGTGTCTGAGGGGAGGATAAATTGGTTCCAGGATCCTGGCAGATACCAAAATGTGCAGATGCTCAACTCCCCTATATAAAATGGTATAGTATTCACATATACCCCATGAATATTCCCTCCTGTGTTTTAAATCATCTCTAGATTTCTTATAGTGCCTAATATAATGTAAATGCTATGAAAATAGCTATTGCATTGTATAATGCAGGGAAGGACCACAAAAAAAATCTGAACATAATTGGTATAGATGCAATTTTAATGGTGAATATTTTCCATTGCCCTTGGTTGAGTCCACAGAAGTGAATGGATAAAAGGGCCACTGTATTTTCCATTCCAGATAGTCAATGGTAAGTGAGGGTGTGGTGCCTATCAGTGAGGGAAGTTAAAAGAAGGGGTGGTTACTTCTCTTAGAACTGTGAAGATTCTGGGAATGCCAGGCAACTCAGCCCAGGAAGGCCTACATGCAAAGAGTGATTAGGAGGTAGTGTGCTTCCTGCTATAGCGGATGCCTGTGTGCATGAATGCAAACAAGTTCTGCTTAATGGCTTTTTTTTTTTTTTAATGATTCCAGTAAGTAACCATTGTGATTTTACACCATAAGAATCAAATGATTCTGGGGCCGGGGGTGGGCTTGCGCAGGGGTTCAACCCTGGGGCCTCCCTCATACTACGCAAGCATTGAGTTACACCCCCAGTCCCAGATCTGGGTTTTGTTTAGTATTTTTCTCTAATTTTTTTTTGTTTGTTTGTTTTAATGCATTTGGAGCAGGCAGCGATGTCTAAAGTGGTGGGTGTGTGTGCGTGGGAGTGAGGGACAGGCAGTCTGCAGAGTCAGTAGAGGCATCTGAGAGGCAAGGAATTTTTAAGAGATAGCTGCACTCCATATAGAGGGCTCTGACTGGCGTAAAGGAGGGCATAGAGGGTCTGAGCACCGCTCCCATAGCAAGAAATAAATGCTGGCCAGGTCTAGGTGGATTTCCCCCAGGGCATCGTGGCCGGCTGCTCAGACTGTCCAATCAGAGTGCGGCCAGAAACCTAGGCTGAGTGATCTTTAAGTTACTGAGCCAGGTCCCGACAGCACCCGGCCACGCGCTCAGCTCTCCCGCGACGGTTGAGTACGTTTAAGTAATCATTCCTATCCCGGCGGTTCCATGCTCAGTTCTTGGCCCGGGCACAGGGGAAGCGGCAACAGGTCCTCGCGGACAGCCTCGGCTTCCCTCACCCGCATTCCGCAGCGTGCGTGGGTGCGGCTGCCCCGCGGTCTGCACCCGTTCCCGACCCACAGGCTGGCCAGCGGGGCGGACTCTCGGGAATCCACCCCGGTGGTCTCCGGAGCCAGGTTTTAAATAATTCATGAGCTGGGCCCCGCGAGCGGGGCAGTGAAGGGAGAGGTCTGCGGCAGCGGTGACGAAAGCCGGAGATGGAGCAGGACCCCGGCGCGTGGTGAGTAGCTATGACCTCCCTCCGGAGAGGTGTCTGCGGACTGGCAGGGGGACTGAGGGGTCCCCTTTCCCGAGTACTAAGGACAGGCCATGGCGAGTGGAGAATCTCTCTCTGGGCATCTCCCTGCCCCGGTAGCAGGTGGCTGGAGCCCCGGTAGCCACCAGGGAACTGGAGGGGCAGCGGGGAACCGGAGGTGGCCCGGGAACCACGCCAGCCCGAGGTTCCGAGATGTTCTGGGAGAACCGGGTAGGGAGCGCAAACTTTTCCGGCTGCGTGGTGGCCGGCGTCGCACGGCGCCGCTGGGGTCTTCCTCCTATTCTTTGGAGTGGAGCCGGCGACTGTGGGTCTCCAGGTGTCAGGGCATGAGATGGCGAGGGAGGCCCCCGCCCCCGGAGCCCGCAGGCTTGCCCTTGGGGAGGTGGTGAGCGAGGGGAGGCTCGCCAGGGGTTTAGGAACTTTTCCGCGGTTAGGGGAGCGCTGGTGGCCCAGGGGACGCAGGGTGCCGAGCCTCCCCGGTGGAGCCTGGAAAGGGCCAACCTTCCTCGGTTTTGCCAAGCGGAGTGCGCTGTGCAACTGACCGCAGTAGGAGGGGGATCTGGGGTTGCAAAGGGAACCGGTTCCCGGGGGGCCACAGGAGAGCGCGCGCGCCCTCAAGGTGGAGCACCACCGCCTCTCCACCCTCCACGACCCGCTGGATGCTCAGCTCCGAGAGCTTGGGCTTTCCTGGGATGGAGAAGCGGAGTGCTCCGGATGCACCCTGCAGGAACGCGCCCACCGCGACAACAAAGGGGAACGAGGACAGACGAAGAGCTCCGCGGCTGCAGGAGAGTCGGGGTTCAGGATCAGTTTCCCTGAGAGCAGGCCCGAGGGCGGAGGGGCACGGGTCCAGATCCCCTGCTCTCTGGCGAGAGCGCCCCCAATCCATGCCCATGCGAGGCCGCCGAGCGGAACTGGCGCAGACGCCCTGGGGGCGGCCAAGTTACTCCGGCAACCCCCTCCCCCGAGCGGCGCGGCGGCCGGTTCCTGGAGGCCCCTGACTTCCCGCGCCCGCGTGGCCGCCCATTCTTTTGTGTCCCGCAGCTTAGGAGAGGCTCCTGTCTAAGGGGGAGCGGAGGCCGGAAGGAGGCCGGCCTGGAGTGGGTTAGAGGGGAGGCCGGGAAACCCGCGCCCGGTGCCTCCTGCAGCTACAGGTTGCTCGGCGAGCCCGACCGACCTTCCTCTGGTCTGGTCCGGGCTGGAGATAGGATCTCATTAAGTTGCTTAGGGGCCTCACTAAATTGCTGAGGCAACTACCGACTTTTGTTAAGATGAGCAAGTGGGTGATTGTGGTCCTTCGCGGCTTCCTCCACCCTCACTCACTCTTGACTCCAAACAACTTAGGCAACGAGTAAGGAGGAAACAAATGAAGTTGCTTTTGGGGGATTGAATATTTGAAAATCAACTCTCTATGATTCAACTTGGATGATGATGTATATTTTTCTTTTCTCATTTGTGAGAAACTTTCTGTATCCACGGAGCTGCCTTCTCTGGCAAGATGAGCCTGGGGGTCATGGTGGAGTTTTGCTCAGAGCATCCATGACAGAGCCCACCAGCGCTTTGTGGACTGCTGGCTGTGGGCCAGGACTTTACTGTTCCTTGCAACCCAAGCTGCTTCCCACTGTAGAGATGAACCAAGCAAAGGTTGGAGACTATAAACAGCTGCCATTGTCACAGTTAATGAGTGATACCAGAGACCCAGCCCTTTCTCAAAAGCTTGCGGCTATTTTCTATTTAGCAGCACCCTTTAGTTTTGTTTTCTTGATATGCCCTATAAATTTTTTATGAACTTCCGTATAATTTCCATGCTGTACTATTTCTCTGTGTTCTAGTTCAGTGAAGTAAATAAGTGCATCAAACCACAGGTTGAAAATAACAGAACTTTAAGCCAAGTATTATGTTGTTGGTATTGTTTTAAAATAAAGGAACTAGGTTATTCAGCGGGGTGGGAGCTGGCTTTGGAGTTTTGTTAAGGATCAGGATGCTTTGTTAAAAACAATGTAAGCAGCCTGACATGTTGGTGCCCACTTGGAATCCCAGCTAGTTCTGAGGCTCAGGCAGGAGAATTGAAAGTTCAAGGTCAGCCTCAGCAATTTAGTGAGGCCCCTAAGCAACTTAATGAGATCCTATTTCAAAATAGAAATAAAAAGGACTAGGCATGTCCTAAAGTGGTAAAATGCCTCTGGGTTCAATCCCTAGAACCACCAACACCACCAACAAAAGCCAATACAAGTGAACTCTGGGAAATTGTTGCAGAAGAGGGCTTCTGGGAATGGTGATGACTGGGTGGCTTGAGGGAGGGACAGGAGGGCTGGCTAGGCTCTCCTAGGAGCTCAGGATATGGCAGGCACCCAGACTGGTGTATGGCTATGGTGTTGGATATGGCTGTTGGCACTGCCATCTTTGGTGCTAGAATTAATTAGAAACTGTGTGACTTCAGTGTATGCTGCAAGCACAGGCCCAGGAACAGACACCTGATTGGCCTGGCTTGGCTTACCCCTCCAGGACCAATTTGGGGACCTCAGTTGGCCTCATAATGAAAGGCAGGGCTTCCTCCCTCAGGACACACAAAGGTGGGCCCAGAAGTTAGGGAGCCCTCACATCCTGCCCAGAGCGTCTCACATGATGAACACCTAAACAGGGACCCTTTTTAAAAAAAGAACAATTTTGAGAAGTTCCCATCAAATGAAGAAAAGAAAATGAAGCTGCTCATTCACCCTGTTTGCTTTTAAACCAGTGTTTGCTGAAATGTGGTTCTCGGGCTCCAGACTCAGAATCATGCGAGGTATTTGTTTAAAACCAACCTTTTTGGACCCCTTCTCCTCTTATGAATTCATTGTGTTTGGGGTAGAAACCAGGAATCTGTACCCCATAAATCAGGAAAATGGTAAGAGGGTCTTGTTGATTAGTACCTGTTTAAGATGATAGCCCCTGAGGCAGAAATTTCCAAAGCTTGCAAAATTGAGAGTCCAAACAAAGGTATCTCTCCCATCATGGTAGACCAAATGTTCTGCATGAGGAGCTCCAGTGAGTATTGCGTTGGAGGAAATGGCCATGGGCAATCCTACGGGTAGGATAGGACCATCCTTTCAGAGGCTAGAAAGCAGCAAATAGGTAAATGTTTGGTACCACTTCAAAAAAAAAAAAAAAAAAAAGGTAAAAATGACCATTTTGTGTCAGTTTTCCCCGCTGCCATTTTATTTTTATAGTCCTTTACTGAATACCTACTGTGTGCCAGGTCCTCAGATTATAGGCGTGAGCAAGTCAGGATCCCTGCACAGCAGCTGGGATAGATCAATTCAAAGCAACATGACAAGGGCCTTTGGAAGAGCATACTTCACATCTGTGTCCTATGGTTGTATCCGAGAAGCCCATGGTATCTGTAGAAAGCGGAATGGGTGATATTCAACCAAGAGCATAATCGTTCTCAAACTCCAGTTGTCTTGAGAATCAGTCCTGAGGAGATTTTATGGAAAATCAGGTTAATGGGCCTCATCCAGAAATTAGGTGTGGCATTTGCATTTAAGCGAATAGCATTGCATGCTAATGCAGAAGTTGCTGATACAGAAGCTCAGCAGCTCTTGGGACCGGGTGGAGTTTATTAGGAAGCACCCAGACCTTCTATTTTGGCACAGCCGTTAGAACCAAGGTGAAAAAATGTCTCCATTTGACCTGACAATTTCTTCAGTTGTCTAGCATTTTGCTTGTGAGATTTTAATATTTTCTTACAATTTAGTTTAAAATTAATGAGGGATCTACACTTCAGAGCAGGATGTAAAGAAATCTGGACTTGCAGCTCCAGTTGCCTCTAGATGGCTCGCTGCCTGTCTTTGCAGGGGTGAGCTGTAGTGTTTCCCTCCACCTGGAATTTCCTTTCTGCCTTTCCACTGAGGAGGACTTTGGCAGTGAGCTTAACCACAGCTCTCCCTAGTCAGTTCTGACTCTGGCTATAGGTTAGTGGCATTACCAGGAAGTGAGCCTTTTTCAGCAGCTGAACCTTTAATCCTTGCAGCTGCTAGGATTAAAGTTCTTCTTTAGCAAAACTCCAGCTAAGGTCTGAGTGATGTGTGTGTGTGTGAGAGAGACGTTCAGAGGGGACCCTTCGAGAGATGTAGCCTGGGTCCTGTGCACATTGTGAGTGTCATGGAGAGCCAGAAGCAAAGTGTGGGGTGAGTGCCTTTGTTCCTGGTAGCCACTTGGCATCCGAACAGCCCACGATTTGCTGTAGGGTCATGCTGTTGGTTGCACTGTGCAGAAGTAATTGGAGTTGTGGTAGCATCAAAGGGCATTAGATATGCATTAGTATCTTCATTCAAATAACTCATGAAATCCACCTCTCATCTGGAGCTTACTTTGACTTGGAATCTAGGTAGTGGGTCCTCTGGCTTCTTGTAAAATGTGTCTCTCTCTTTTGATTGTCCCCCTTTCCCTTTTTCACAATGTGCATTTTATGGGCACCTTTTACTTATCTTGAAAGTTAACGAGTATGATGTGTATGTAGCTTACAAAATGGCAGCAACGTTTTGCAGAACACCTGGGTGGGGGCGGGGCGGGGGGGGGAGACACAGACACACGTGTGAGCCAGATTCCACTTCTGAGTTCTGGGCTGTTCACCTCACCCTGTGACCTGGCACGGAAAAGCAGTTACGTTGATTTGTTTATTTCTTATATTCAGCAGATGCTGAATACGGACACCAGCTGTGTGCCCTGCTCTGTTAGATTCTGGGGACAGAAAGAACCTAAGGTCCACCAGGACAAGGGCGAGGAGCCTCTGCCCTGTCTCTCACCTTCCTGTGCCTAGCCATGGAGATGGTGACCTGGGACAGAGGTTTCTATCAGGATGACTCAGTGAACTTCTTAGGACTGCAAACAATAGTGTCATAGGATCTCCAACAGTTTGGTCCCTGACCTCGGGGTCATCCCCTTTTGGTTTGGATTGCGGGTAAGATGGAGAATAGGCCTTTGGAAATAAGATCAGTCTATTAATAAGCAGAATTTAAGGCTGAGTGAATTACCTCCAGGCAGGGAGAAAAACACAGACTTGGAGGAAAAAAGTGACCATATAGTGCATTGCTGGGTCCTCTGTGGAGCCTTGATTGGAGCCTAGGACAATGAGCTCTGTAGGATCTGAGTCTTGGTTACCTGGCTAGAGCTTGGGCTCTGAAGGCAGACTGCCGAGTTTGAGTTCTGGCTCCCACGATCATCACCTGTGACTTTGGGTGAGTTATGAAAATCCTCATCATGAAATGGGCTAATGCCTTAAGCATGCGCAACAGCATTTGGAATCTACTAAGTGTTTGGTAAATGTTAGTTTCCACCATTGCACAGCCCCCAGTGCCTGCCTGTCTGTAGAGCTTGGAAAGGGTCTGTATTCTGAGTCGGCCCCACCCCCAAGGAAGGACCTTCTCTGAGTTCTTGTTCCTGCCAGCCCCTCCCCTGCAGCTCTGGAGCAGCTGTGTGTTTGATTTCCACCCTCCGGGATTAGGCTGAAGGGTTTGCTCTAAAGCTTTGCAGTCTCCTCTCCAGAGCAGCTCCTCGTGCAGGCAAGTGGCCTGTGTCGGTGACTCTACTACTGTCTCTTTCATTGCCAGAGATGTTGCCTTGAGTGAATGACTCCATTGAAGGAAGCTCTTCTGCGTCCCTTGCTGCAAGCCAGCCCTGCCAGGAAGAAGACTCAGCAGGTCCAGGACCCACTAGACCACTTCTGCACAGGAAGGACCTATCTTCCCTAAGGCTTCCAGAAGCTACCTCATGTTCAGGGAATCTTGCTAGCTATGGCCCTCCTGTTTGGTGTACTGCTGCTGCTGGGGCTTTGTGGGAATATCATCTCAGAAAACACTTCTGAGGCATTGGATTATGAATTGCCTACATCCAAATATGAGACCGAAGACACCTACAGTCCCGGGCCCATTAGTGTTCTCTTCCAAATGGTGCGCATATTCATCTACATAGTGCAGCCCGGAGAGTTCCCTGAAGGTAAGTGCCGACTTCAAGGAAAGGTGGGATTTGTCTCCACATGCACCATGGTATTGTTCTTAATGACAGTGCAATTCATATCAAATATATTTAGTATTTTAAACTATGAGTTTCAAAAAAGGCTGATTTGCATAGGTGCAAAAAACTTTGAGACAGAACTTCAGTTAATTAAGTTGGCAGCAATGTGATTAGGATAAATGAAATTCAACTCTATTGCTATGTTGGTTTTCCAAGTCCTTACCTTTTTTACATTTTGTTTTGCTTTGCTTAGAGCAATGAATTTCTCTAAAGCACATACCGAAGGTAAAAATCAAGGTAAAAATGCAATTTCTGTCATGAACTGAGAGGTTAATAGCTACCTGGCTCCTCTTGGCGATGTCAGTGCTTACAAATTTAATTCTGCCCACTGCGAAATGCAATTTTGACACAGCTTAGGGAAAGGGCAGACCTGTCCAAACCTATTTATCTTATTAACAGTTTGCTTCAGATCTAAGTTTGGGTGTGAGAGAGTGGGGTGGAACTCGACGCCTAGTGTGCTATTCTTTGTACACAGTGCCGATGTCCACTTTGGCCTTCTCTTTCTGCTTTATCCTACGCATCAGAACTTGGAAGTTGTGATTGCCTTCATGTTAGGTCTATCCCATGCTTCTAGATTTGAATATTGTTATTGATTATTAAATTTATAGTAACCTTTATTATGTTCCTCAACTGGTCAGTTACTGTGTGTGTGTGTGTGTGTGTGTGTGTGTGTGAGAGAGAGAGAGAGAGAGAGAGAGAGAGAGAAGGAGAATGAATTTATTTTGGTATGTCTCATCACTTATTTATATCATGGGAATAGTATAAGGAGTTTCACTAAAATATATGTTGATTGAGGTTTTTTTTTTTTTTTTTTTTACATGTTTGTCTTTTATCAGCTTGAAAGAACTTGAAGTATTTTGGTTAGTTTAAATTTCAATTCAAAGAAATGAGTCTTACTAAGCTCTTACTGTCATAGAAGAGTATCCCAAACTAATGCTGCTTACGTTTCATTGCTTGAAAGACTATAAATTTGGTAATTCAAAAGATAAAAGTAGGAAATAAGTTGAACTTATTACTGTTGATTACAGAATTCACCATTTTGAATGCATCCCTTAGTTTATTTGTAGGCTTAATACAAGTCACATTGAACGAATAAACAAAATAACTAGGAGTGCTTCTCATCTCTGCTTCTTTTTTTTTTATGGTACTGGGAATTAAACCCAAGGGCACTTAACCACTGAGTCACATCCCCAGCCCTTTTTGGTTTTTTATCTTGAGACAGAGTCTTACTAAGTTGCTTGGGGCCTCACTAAATTGCTGAGACTGGCCTTGAACTTGCAATCCTCTTGCCTCTGCCTCCAAGTCACTGGGATTATAGGTATGTGCCACCAAGCCCAGCTTTACTTCTTTTTAAAATATATGTACCAAGTGTAGAATTCAGTTGTTTAATTGAATTTGCAGTGGATTCTTCAGAAAGATGAGGCTTCCCATGTCTTAGTCTAAAGCTCCTCGTGTACTTGTCTAATCCCTTAATCTCTTTCCATATGTTGTTCTATTTTGCTTCTTCTGAATTTCAGAGGAAGGTTTCCTCAGGTTTTACAATGAAAAGCAGTATTTAAAATCTTCCTTCAGATGACCTGAGTAGAGGCCATCTTTTAGTCTTAAACAAAATTAGCAATGCATTTGAAGATTCTGAACCCCAGCAACATTGTTAGTCTAGGAAATACCTGAAGAATTTAAATCCAGAGGTAATCTGAGGTGTTAGCCTGGTTTGTTCCTTGACCTTCATCAGTACTTCGTAGCTCGGAAGATATTACCAGAAGTTTCAGCAGAAGAGCAGAGTAGACCATCCTTACAACCTTTTTGGGGAAAATCTAATATTGAATATAATGAATGACACCTTGCAATGTTGGTTTTTCTCCACCATCTTGCTTTTTATATTCTTTCACTCAGCTAATGGATTTCATATGGTCTCAAAGTGTTCACTAGGGGCTTTACAGTGTTGTAAAGGACACATATTAGACAGTCACAATTTTTCCATTGGGGCAAATGCATTTCATGGGCATTATAGATATCTTCAAAAGCAAAGATGCAAAAGCATCCCCCCCATAAAAAGAAAAAAGAGGAATTCTTACTTCTTATTCATCAGTTTAATTAATTAGTTTATTAACCAAAATAAAACTATGGGGTAAATATAATATTTTCACAGAAGATACTATCCCATGGGTATATTTTTTTATTTGAAAGAACAAAAGTACTTTGAATGCAAGATTCCCCTGTGGTTTGAGGACTGGGAAAGGAAGGGACAACCCTGGATCTGGCCTTTTTTTCCCTCCAGGACTGGGGATTGAATCCAGGACCTCAGACACTGAGCTACAACCCCAGTCCTTTTTATTTTGAGAAAGGGTCTCTCTAAGGTCTTGAAGTTGAAATCTTCCTGCCTCTGCCTCCTGAGTGAGTGGGATTACAAGTGGGCACCACTGTGCCTGGCCCCATCTCATAATTTTTTTATATACATTTTTCAATTTGCTATTTTCTTTCTTTATTTTTTTATGTGGTGCTGAGGATTGAACCCAGGGCCTTGTAAGTGCCAGGCGAGTGCTCTACCACTGAGCCACAACCTTAGCCCCCCATCTTATAATTTTTAAGAATTCAGCATGGATTTCTCTTAAGATTTTATATTCAAAACTTTGTGAACAGTTTTTGTTGGCTATAGGATATAAATATGAAAAACTCCCCTGTCCGGGGGCAAAAAATTGGGGAGCCTGGCCAGGGGCACACGCCTGTCATCCTAACTGCTGGGGAAGCCGAGGTGGTAGGATCTCCAGTTCCAGGTCAGCCTGGGCAACTTACTGAGCCCCTGTTGTAAAATATAAAGTAAAGCTCTTCTGGGTTCAGTCTCCAGCCAGCACTGGAGGGAAGGAAGATGAGGGAAGTCCTGCTTTCTAGAGTGTCCTTGCTGTGAGTTGGGAATGGTACCTGAGGACAGCTGCTAGGGTAGGTCACTGGGGGTGGAGGCTCCTGCCATGGTTCAGAGGGTTGATGATGAATTTACAACGAGGCAGAGCGTCCCGGGGAAGTGGATACAGTACGTTATCTATGGCCAAAGAACTGTAGCATAAATCTTGGCTCTTACTGTTGGCTTCTGGGAGATCTTGGTCAAGTTCTCCCACCCCCAGACCCTCTTTTCCCTTGGATGGAGTATGACTGTCATCATAGCCCACTTTGGGTTTGTTTTCGAGGCTTAAATGAGATGCCTGCTGTATGTGTAGCCTTTGTTTAAAACCTTGCCAGAAAGGCACAGAGAAATATGCTCAATAATTATAGTTGCTATTGACTTCAATATTTGGGAGGGAGGGTTGGCCAGATAGCAGAACTGGTTGAGAGCCGTGTGTAGGAATGAGAAGGTGTCTCCCGGAAGGATCCCGAAACCAACCTCATTGCTGTCCCAGGAACATTCTTCACGGAATGGCCCCATTGGATGCACTTTTGTTACTTTTGGGTGGAGGGTCCCCTGAGCGCCCCCACAGGAGCAGAACAGGCAGAGAAGCCAGTGCGATGCCCGTGTCCTGCGTGATCTGCACTGCGCTGCGCTGTCTGTCCAGCAGGCTCTTGGTTTGTCCATTTCTTTTTTCTTTTTTTGCTGTCCCAAGCCTCCTGGTAAGGCTGGCTTTGCCACAGCTCCCTGGATTCCCCACAGCTTGGGGGTGGGTGATGGCGGTCGGTGGTGCTGCTATTTCTACTTATTATCCTCCCCTTTACCGATGTGAAAACTGAAAAAGACATTACACATTCTGGGTGTGCAGTAGCAAGTGGCAGCCGGAGACTCCCTAGCCCTCAGGACCAGTTATTCCTCCCATAACCCATATCTCCCTTGTTTTCCTTCCATTTTACTGTGATGCTTTTGAAACTAACCACGGGCAGGACCGGGGATGTGGCTGAATGGTAGAGCAGCAACAAAACCCCCACGAGTTAAAGAAGAGAACCAGAAAGCAAGCAAAGAAAAAGTTTAGAAAAAAGAAAGAACCAAAATAACCATTCGTGAGTAGGGAAAATAGTAAATTTTGCACATTAAAAAGAATGTACAATTTTAATAATTCATAATTTAATAATTATGGCATTTAAAATTACCTGATGGGGTCGTTGAGTACCTCTTTTGGTTTTATGTGGCTGGGATGAATTTGGCCTAAGTTAAGAACCAGATCTGAGCTGCTCTAGTGAAGCAAGCAAAGGAAAACCACTCATCTGCTTTTAGTTTTATAAATTGTCAGAAATGGTTCTCTACGTTGCTTCGGTATATTTTTTAAATGAGCTCTTTGGATGGTTGACCTATTTCTAAAAGCATTTTCGGCTGATCTGATTTGCCCAGAGAATAGGCTTGGGATAGAGGTACCAGTGGGGAAGTTGGGGTTCTTGTGGAGTTGGGGCTGCTGCCAGGGTGTAGCTGCTCGGTTGCAGATGGGGAAACTTACTCACTAGATTGACCAAAACAGGGAGTTTATCTTCAGAACTCCAGGTGTCTCCTGGTGCTCAGTGAGGTAGGAGCCACAGGAGTACGCCTCGCTCTCAGGAACCTTCCGCTGTCCATCTTGGCTCCTCTGTGCATGTCCACGCTTGGCACCTCCTCCCCACCCCTTCCCATCTGGTTCCCCCTCTGCCATTGTCCTTGTGGTGGACATTGCATTGTAGAGAGTGGCCAAGAGTTCTTTCCCCTCTTGTCCCAATTCTTCATTCCCCAGGGATGGCCTCTGGATCCCTGGGCCAATTGCCAACTGTGAGCCCATTAAGTGGCTGTGGCCAGGATGGTGCTGTGTGGACCTGGCTCACTTGCCACTTGCCACCTGCCACCATAGCACCATGCCACCATGGCATCAGTGGCAAAGGAGCAACTTGCAGGAAAGGCAGAGCCTGGTGGACAGCCCAATAGAGTGTCGGTGCCAACGTTCATGCAGCCCTGGGCCGCCACACCTGTGTGTTCTGTT